TGGATGTCGGTATCAGAAACTAGGCTGCATTCGTGTGGTGCATTAGTCATGGATGTGGTGCAGGCGTTCGATCGCACGCTCAGTGAGTTGCTCATAAGCTCGCCGCTGGATGGCGATGCAGTCGCGTGTGTCGTGCGGGCCGCTGGCCTGCCACCGAATGCCATGCGCGTGCTGGCCAAGCGCATCAAGGAGCACGGCGCGCTGTTGGAGCGGCATGCTGCACGGGGCACGGTGGATCCGCATGTGATGGCGCAGACGGCGCAGTGCTACCAGACGCCGTGGTTCATGCGTGACGGCTCCCAGCTGATATCCCTGCCCCAATGCTCAGTGTTTCCTGGGCAGCCGCACGCAGATGTCCTTTATGAAGTCCTCGCGTTGGCCTAGCGTCGCCAAAATATTCATGGACGACGCCCCGGCGCGGATTATTCCAGTATTCGATGTGGAATGTGTGAATGACGGCGCTGTTTTGATTAGTATGTTGGCTGATGGATTACATGATGCAATGTGCCGCGCCCTAGTGGTGGTCTCAGACGTATTTGCAGCCAGAGGCCATTGAGTTTTGGACCCACCAAAGCGTCCGCGCTCATGTGCGTACGAGGTAAGGGCGCTAAACTGCCGAAGCGGGTGAGATGGGGCGCGATCATGGTGAGATGGTCCTCGGTGCTTCAGCTCTCTTGGGGCAAGTCGAGGCACCGGCGGTCAGGGATTATGAGCACTGGGGATCGGTTATTGATGCCGCTGGGGCCATGTTACTGGAAATCAGATCGTGCCACCTCTGACACCGACGCGCTGCGCGTGCTTCGTGCGAGAGCGTGCCACGGCGCTGTGTGACGGTGCGCGGGCGATGTTTGCAGACAGGCTGCTTATGTCAGGTAGGCTTTGCAATGCAGCGGCACGGGCGTCGATTACACAGGGGAGAGGGGCATGCTGATGGGGAGGTCATGAAGGCATGTATATCGAGCAGCGGCGAAGGTGATATCTGACACAGCCGAAACTGGCGTCCCCAACCGGCAAGTGCTGGCCCAACTCCAGTGCCACCCACCAGACGCCCTTCGGAAGGCAGCCCGTCTTCGCCTGCTCGGCCCCCTCTTGCACGCTGGCCCCAAGATAGCGATCGTATTTCTTAGAGCCGAGTCGGCTGCTACCAATCGGAGTCGCACGTGGCTCGGCATGGTGGCTCAGAATGCGATCGGCTGCGCGGGGCTGCCGCCGCGCGTGCCGCGCTGCCCCCGGCGGGAATAGATTTTGCGCCCTGGGGGGCGTTGATTCGGAAAGGTGAGGGCCCGTGGAAGCGAATCATCGGACTGGCCCTGAAGGCCGCCGCTCAGGCCCATTTGCGCAACGCTGCAGCAGTTGGTGCCGTGGTCAGCCAGGCCGGGGTGCCTCCGCGTGTTTACGCGGACGCAAGCGGCATGCTGGTGGGCCCCCCTGTCCCTCCGACCCCGCCCGCCCGCGTGGAGGCGCAGCGCCCCTGGCGCGCAGTCAAGTTTTTCTCTGTGTTTTGATCATCCTTCCAGGGCCCACGTGGCCAGAGGGCGCCGGCAGCAGGCCTCGCCGGCCAAAGCGCGGGCAGCCCCGAGTGGTCAGTGCGGGGCCTGTCGGTCCACAGGCCACAACAGACATCACCTGGTTGACCATCTCACCACGGGCCCCCCGCGCTGGCCGCAAGTGCTGATGAGCGAACGGATCGGGCCTGTTGGCCTGCAGTTGCGTGATCTGGTGCGCGCTGGCCCTGGTTCCTGGATCGCGGGCGGATGCCCGGCCTGCCATATTTCAGAACCAGATTTTGGTATTTCAGCGGGGGGCCAGGCTCCTGGAGTGGCCCGCGGACGTCGTGCGGTCGTTGCGCCGACAGTCAAATCCCTTGGGCCCCTTGCAGAGCATGCGACTGCAACGGCTGCGACGATGGGGCATGAGTAAGCACGGGACGTCTTCTTGGAGTCGGATCCTGCTTTGTTCGATGCCGCCTTGGATGTGCTGGCCCGACGCTGCCGCCGCCAGAGATGCCGCGGCTGCCGCTGCCAGCCGATCCGATCCAGCGCAGAGCGCCACGCCGGACTGGCGAGCGATCCGATCCCGCGCGCCCTTCGTCGCGTTGATTATTTTGCTCTGAAATTATACTCGGGGCGGAGGCGGGCTGTTGATGTGCAGGCCCAGGTGGGGTGGTCACACGACTCCAGTGACTATGCGAGTTTGTGTTGTCTATAGATGTTGAGATTCATGCCAGAATGGGGGATATGATGGATAAGCATACGCTCGACGTTTCGAAAGCCCATATCAGGGCACGCCGCGTGGCTGCGTCGGGGGGAGGTCGCCCGCGTGACGCCTGGTCCTCGTCAAGATGGGCCGAGGGCTCCGGCCCGACACCTCGTCGTGCGCGCGAGAGTTTCTGGGGGGAGTTTGCCGTGTCAGAACGGCAGATGGAGCAGTGTTGGGTCGGTTTTTTACGTGTGTGATATGTGTGATACGCTAGAGAGCTATTTGCCGCGCGCGTGGACTTTGGCGCGCGCTGCTGGATGGGGCGCCCCCGCGGCCCTGCCATTGGCCACTGCGGGCGGCGAGCTCGTTCACTTGCCGCCCACTTCGAGCCGCGATGTCGTCTCCCGCCGCGGCGCGTGCGGACTTTGATCTGCGCGAGCGCCGACAGACTTCCAGAGCCCCAGCGCGTATAGATGCGTTGCGCATGGACGGTCTGCGCAACAGCTTGGTCAGCACACCAGGTAGAGGGCGTTGTTCGCACGGGAGGGGTGGTCAGGACATTCTGCTGGGGCATGGCGAGCAAAACCGTGAGTGGAGGAAGGCCAAGAAGCAAACCTATCCCCCCGGGTTCTGGAAGTGTTTGGCAGATGCCACGGTGCGCGCGGTGCAGCGCATGCGTGAGCGTGATGGGTGTGGGACGCGTGCAGACATTGCTTGTGGACATGATCGAACCTGTTGCGGTTCGAGACAGTCTCTTGCAGTTGTATATCGCGTGGGGCCCCTACTCTGGCACCGATGAGTCGCGGGCGCCTGATGTTGTGCCGAGGCGGAACGGTAAACGGAAAGCGGGTCCAGAGTTCCATCGCTTTCGCACACCAGATGGACTGACTGAGGGGGAAATGAGTGCATTCGCCCTGGCCCCCCCGCCCCCGCCTGACAGTGTGCTTGGCCCGCCGGCCATTCCTGGGCCGCCAGGGCCTCCGGAGGCTGGCGAGGAGCACGAGGATACAACTGCCCGTGACATGTTTGGCATTTCTCAGCAAGCTGACCAGTTAGCTCAAAGTTCTTCTCCCGCGGCCCCGCCCCCGCCAACCCCTGTCGCTCTCACCGATGAGACCCGAGCTCGGATTGCGGCCAAACGGGCCGCAGTTCGGGCTAAGCGCGTGGAGAGATGCGAGGAGATACGCCGTGGAATGCTGTTGGAAATGGCCCACTGGAATGCGGATCCCACCTTCGGTGTCGGCTTGTTCGACAGGGCGGTCAGATAGATCGGACCCAGCCCTGATGGCGCTCGCATTTGACTGGGCCCCGCGCAGTGGCTCCCCAGCGACGTAGCTCCTGGGTAATAGGTTCCCGCTTGGTCGTTGCCGTGCAAACCCTGCTTGAGGTCTTGAGTGCGGCGGCCTAGCCCTGAGGGCTAGCCCCTCTTCGCCCGCTGAGCGGCATGTGGTCCCTCCTCCCCCCTCCCCCTCTCTGTCCTTGCAGGCTGACCGCCCGTGGGGGAGCGACCCGTGCCGCGGTCGAGCCTGGAGATGTCGAGGGAGCACTTGCCGCCTCCCTCTTGCGACCGCAAGCAAGACCTGGACAGGATCTGCTTTCTGTTGGCCAGGGCGAGCCCAGCCGTGGCTACGCCAGGGCCCCACGTGACCCCCAGCCGGGGGACACCTCGGCACCCGTTGCGCCGGGCACGCGCGAGGCCCCTCCCGCCTGCCGCCCCCCCACCCCCCCGCCGGCCAGGTGCCACGTCCCTCCGCCCGTGGGTGGTGGGCTGGGTAGGAGGTGGGGGGAGGGGGGCAGGGCAGGACGGGGCGGGGCTGTGCCGCACGTGCTTCCCGCTGTCGCCTGCTGGATCGTCGGTGGGGCAGAGACCAGCCCTGGCCGCGAGCAGAGCCAGCATGCCACCAGCCACCAGAGGGGGCGTTCCCAGAGTCGCTCGTGTCCCCCGTTCCCGAGAGCGGCCGCCAGGGAGCCATACGTGGAGCCTGTGCCCACGAGTGCCGCGCGCCGATAAGGAGTGATGTGCCAGCCATTTTGGCAGTGACCCTCCCTCCCCGAAATGGCTGTGATGGTAATCGTGCTTGGTGGTCCTTCGCCGTCCCGTGTCTCGTTAAGCTTGCGGGGTGCGAGGAATGTTGTCCCTCTCGGTAAAGAAGGCTGGACCAGCCATGTTGGATCTACGATTGCTGTTGCGTTTGAGTTGCGCAGCCGATCCCGCGGCCAGGGAGTGACCGTTCACCCTTCGAGGACCTCCCCGCCGCTTGCACTTTATGCGCTGTCTCTCTTGCGCATATATGCGCACTGGTGTCATCCTGCTGCTGCAGTCCAGAGTTCAGCCCGCGAGGATCATTGTCCGTGCCCGTGCTGGCCACCTTCCCCTCCCTCCTTGTTTGCAGATGCCACAAGATCTCGGCGCTCTTTCTGACAGCTGGCTGAGTACCAGCTGATGCAAGATGAACGGGGGGGAGTGGAGCGTGGGGATTGGGGTGGTGGATCGGTTTCTCATTAGACTTTGGCGCCCGTTTTGTCCGCTGGCTGAATACCAGTTGCTGTCAGATAGTCGAGTACCAGCCTCTTCTGGCAGGTCGGGAGCCTCGTCATAGTCGCAATCCGAAAATCCCCCCTCTCTCTTCCTCCTCCTCCATCCTCAATTTCTCTCGCCTCCCTCGCTCCTTCTAATTTTCCTCCTCATCCCTCTCCTCCGTCTCCCTCCCTTCTCCCTCCCTTCTCCTGCGCCTCAATTCCCCCCCTCTCTCCGTCCTCCGCCCTCCCCCTCCCTCTTCTCGCCGGGGTGGGGACCCGAGGTGGACTGCCACAGGCAGGCCCGGTACTTGTCCTTCGAGCAGCAGTTCGGGCCGCTGCAGGTGCACGAGCAACTGCGGGAGGCCTGCCCGCGGATGGGGGTCCTGGGGAGGGGGGGGGAGAAGAGCGAGGGAGGACAAGGAACGAGGCGGGAGGTAACGGAGGGAGGTGGGAGGAGGAGGCATAGGAACATGGCAAATTATGGCAATAGGAAAATAATGATGATGATGATGATGATGATGATGATGATGATGATGATGATGATGATGATGATGATGATGATGATGATGATGATGATGATGATGATGATGATGATGATGATGATGATGATGATGATGATGATGATGATGATGATGATGATGATGATGATGTGATGTTGGTCATGCAGATGTTGATGATGATGATGAGTATGAGGATGATCAATACGACGATTATGATGATGATGTTGATGATGTTGTTGATGATGATGATGATGATCATGAATGATGATCATGAATGATGGTGATGATGGCGATTGCGATGATGACGATGATGATGATGATGATGATGATGATGATGATGATGATGATGATGATGGTGACGTGGGTGGTGAGGAGTTGATTATGATGATGATGATGACGATGATGATGATGGGGAGGAGGAGGAGGAGGAGGAGGAGGAGGAGGAGGAGGAGGAGGAGGCGGACGAGGAGGAGGAGGAGGAGTAGGAGTAGGAGGAGTCAGGGGAGGAAGAGGAGAAGGAGGACGCGGAGGAGGAGGAGCGGGAGGAGGAGGAAAAGGAGGAGGAGGACGTGCCCCGTGCCACGGGGGCGGCGGAGTTGCATGGGCATGGGCATCGCGGCGGTTCGAAAGAGTGTATGATCCGAGAAGAAGCACGCCATAAACATAATTTTTTGGAGATCGATGCGGAACGCCAGAAAGTGATGTGTATGTTTTTTTATTATTCTTCTTCTTCGTTTTCTTCTTCTACATCAGGAAGGATGGATTCGAGTGGTTCGACCATCTCGTGGCGGTATATACTCCCAGAGCCCCAGCACTGCCTGGAACGATGGGAAGACTTGACCGCAGAGGGGTGGCGAGGGCAACATCGGGCGCAGCCGCCGCAGCACGATAACGACCCCTCCTTCCTCGCACTCGCGCGGCCACGCAGCACTGTCCGCACCTGCGGCCAGCACCACCGCTCCGCAACTGCGGGCCATCGCTCCGAGTCTGGGAGACCGACCACCTCCAGGAGTCCGCGCCTCGCGTGGGGTCCCACTGGTTGCTGTCGCCCGCCCGCGCGCGCGAACTCTCGGGAGGCGCCTCGCGTGTGGAGCCCCACTGGCTGCTGCCGCCCGCCCGCGCGCGCGAGCTCTCGGGAGGCGAGCCCCCCGCGCCATTCTCCTCGGCTGCGGCGCAGTCGGCATGCTGCCACTGCCCCAGACCCCCTCGAGTCATGAAAAGACCACGCCGGAGGCTCCTCGCCATGCTCGGCGTCTGGGGGCCCTGACCGGGCCTTGGGACCGTCAGACAACGACTCGGGGTGAGAGACCGGTCCCGGGGGACGGGGTCGAGGCCCTCTGAGGGCCGACGTTCTGTAAAAGAGCACGACGTCGGGGGGGTCTGGGGCCAGCCATCGGCACGCCATCCCGTCGCGCGTCAGCCCCACTCGGAGCCATCGCGCCATCCCGCCGCGGGGTCGTCCGCCTCCCGTGCGCCGCCGGTGCTGGCGCCGCAGGGCACGGGCGCCACGGCGGCAGACGTGGTCGCACCGTCGCCGTTGACAGCCGGCAGCGGCCGCGGGTTCCAGATCTGAGGCTTCGCTCCGCCTCAGCGCCGTCTCCCCGCGAGTGCGGTTTCCTGCTGGGCCCCAGTCTGGGCGCCAGTCCCCGCAGCTGCGGTTTTCCTGTTGCCGCCCGCCTTGCCGCCTTCCTGGCGCGCCGTTCTTGCCCGCCTTTGCTTCGGCTAGCGCCGCTCCCGCTGCTCGAGCCTAATTATAGGCGAGTGCATCCGGTGGCCTGCGGCACGCATTGTGCGTGAAAGCCGTCAGGGGGAAGTGCGCCCTCCTTCGCGCCTTTCCGACGGCACCGTGCCAGATCCTGGCGTCGAGTTGGGGTTGCCTCATTTTGAAGGGGTGGGGCGCTCGCTCGTGAAGTCCGCAGCTGCGTGAAGTCCTCTGCGCTATTTTTGCGCGTGAAGTCCGCAGCTGCGGCCACGGAGGCGTCAGATGGCGTCAGGAAGGCGCGCGCCTTGTCTGCGACGGGATCTGCCTTGGGAAGGAAAGTTTGCAGCCTCTTCCCAGTGCCACTCGCGCAGCCGAAGGCAAGGAACGATGGGTCATGCTGGACCGTCAACAACCCGCAATTGGCGTCGTGCACTACTTTCGCCATGCTGTCTGCCTTGATCGCGCCTCCTGCTGTCTTCCAGGGGGTCCACGCGGCGACATCGACAGTGACTCCGCAACTGCGACAACAGGAAAGTAGTAGAAACATGCACTTGTTGAAGCCCCCCACGCAGACCTTCACGCCGAGCTTTCGGCGTGGGCGACCAATTACCCGTAGCAGTCACGGTGTTCCGTCGCGCCCTAGACTGAGTTAGCCAAGCTGTGGTGGACGTGCATCGTCATGACACTGAAGGAATTCCCAAAGTGGGGCTCGCGCTGTTCCAGGTCAATGCGCTCCACCATCGCCCTGGACGACTCGTTGTGCCGCTTGGCGCAGATTCCTCCGCAGGACGCAGGCTCTGGGGTCAGAGCGTCCCTTGTCATCGGCGCACCAATGAGGTGCCCGCCCATGCGCTCGAACGGCTGCCTGCCCATGCGCTCGCGGGGCCGCCTTCCCATCCGTTCCAGCGGCCGCCTTTCCACTCGTTTGAGCAGCCGCCTTCGCATCCGCCCCAACGGTCGCCCTCCCGTCCGCCCCAGCGTTCCTGGTTGCCCTTCGGCCGCGGCTGCCGCCGTCGCTTCCGCCGCCGCCCTCCCATTCGCCACGGCGGCCTTGCCGACCTCCGCCGCCGCTTCCGCTTCCGCCGCCTTCGCGCTGCCGTCCGCCTCTGCGGTGGCCTGCGCGTCGTGCCCGCCTCCACCGGCCGCCACTGCGGCCCGTAGCCTCGAGACGCCGCCACCGCGGCCCGCAGCCTCGCCGCCTCCTCGTCGCCAGCCCCCCGTGCGCACACGCCTGCCCCGAGGCGGCGGCCAGTGCGAGTCGTCGAAGCCCGCCGCGCCGCGGCGGAGCCTCCCCCCGGCAGTTCCGGACGCGCCCTGGACGACCTCGGGCCCGGCCGCGGCGCGGCCGGGCCCGAGGTGCTGGCCGCCGCGGCGCGGCCTCGTGAGCCACAAAGGGCGACGCGGCAGGAGAGCTGGGAGGAGGACGAGAACGGGGCGCGGGTAGAGACGAAGCAGGAAGAGGAAAGATGGGCAGTCTAAGCGTCAGAAGGCGCTCCGCCAGGCCCCCCCCTCCCCCCCGCGACTGCGCTCTCGCGGCGGAGGGGGGCGCCCCGGTGCCCAGGGAGGTGGCCACAACCCCCCCCCCGTGGTCGCGGCTCGCGGCGGGGGATGCGCCTCGCAGAAGTCTGATGAAGCTGGGGGCACACGAGCATGGGAAGAGTGAGGGTCCCTGGCGCGCGACCTTCGCCAGGGCGTTCCCCCCTGTCATCGCGGCGCGCGGCGGGGGCGGCGGCGCAGACAGACGAAGACTCCGCGCGGGGCGCCCAGGGTTTTTGCGTTGGTCTGGGGTCCCGTCTCGGGAGGAGGGAGGGGAAGGAAAGGGGAACGGCAGGAACGGAGGGGGAAAGCAGGGGAGAGGCGAAGGACACGAAAGGCGATCGATTCGGCGAAGAAAGGGACAGGCGAAGGAGCGCGATGACGGGAGAGACAGGGGGAGTGCGAGGAAGGAGGGAGGCGGGGCAGATGGGCGAGACGGATGACGAAGGGGGGGGAGGGGAGAGAGCGGAGGAGAGAAGAGGAAATCGGTAAGCACGAGAGGGCAAAGAAGAAGGATGAGGAGGCGGAGGAGGAGGAGGAGGAGGAGGAGGAGGAGATATTTCATTCTGCCAGATATTGGAAGCATACCGAAGGTGCGGCCGCGATGACGTCGAAAGGGCATGTCCGATGCGATCCTTTTGTTGCCTTGCACTCCGGTCAGATTTCCACATCGTTAAAGGCAGCGCCAGGCCACTCATTGCTTTGAAGCGTCCGCCTTGCGGGGGCCTTTGAATTACATGCTGGTTGCGTCACCCCTGAACTCCGCGTGAGCCGCGAGCACGATTGAGCGCCACGCGACAGCTACGCTCCCTCACGACAGGGGATCGCGACGACAACATTCGGAACCGTTTTCCCATTTTCACGCATATCCGCTGCGTCCGTGCACGTCAACCGCACGCCTCTGGACGCACGTTTCGCCGCATTGCGGCGACGCCGATTGGCGGGCGGGTCAGTGCCAGCAAACGCTCTTCGCACCTCCTGCCATCTCGCTCGCGGGTCCCTCGGCAGCGCCCCCCGTGCCCAGAACTCCGCGGCCCCAGGGGCTGGACATCGTAGACCCCCACAGGCCCCGACCCGTGCCCCAAGGATAGTTCCCAACCATCTTGTGGTGTTGGGTCCTTGTTTTGAAGAGACAGCGCCCCGCGTCACTCCTCCTCCCCCTCCCTCCCTCCCTCCTCCTCCTCCTCCTCCTCCTCCTCCTCCTCCTCCTCCTCCTCCTCCTCCTCCTCCCCCTCCTCCCCCTCCTCCTTCTTCCCTGCGATTCACCCAGCAAGTACAACGTTTCGTGGCCCCATAGGGAGCTCCACCGAAGGCCACAGTGCCACCGCCCGCATGCGTCACGCACACCCATGTCGTCACACCCCACACACGTTTCCTCCACCGAAGGCCCCAGTGTCACCGCCCGCATGCGTCTCCCACACACATGTCGGCACACCCCTCACACGTTTCGTGGCCCCATAGGGGGTTCCACCGAAGGCCACAGTGCCACCGCCCGCATGCGTCACCCATACCCATTTCGGCACACCCCTCACGCGCTTCGTGGCCCCATAGGGAGCTTCACCGAAGGCCCCAGTGTCACCGCCCGCATGCGTCACCCACACCCATTTCGGCACACCCCTCACACGTGTCGTGGCCCCATAGG